CCCTGACAGATCAAGAGATTGTGCAAATGGTGGAGAAGAAGCACGTGCCAGGCTACAAGTTGGAGACAGTGCTGGGAGACCCACTAAGGGCAGTGGCCATTCGCAGGAGTGTCGTTGCGCCTCACACTGCATCCCAGAATTCCTTGGAGACTTTACCCTTTGATCACTATGATTATACAAAGGTAAAGGAATTGGTTGTACCTTTCTGTGTTGGTTCTGCTGGCATTTTTGTTGTGATTTTAAGACATTTTGTCTTGTTTGTGTCATCTAAATTTATGAAAAAAGTTTTTTAGATTGGTTGTGTTGTATTTGAGGTGATGCACATATGCAAAGGATATATATGCTGATTCAGAGAAAAAATGATATATATTTTTATATATTTTCACAAGAAGGAATCGTTTGTGTTATCATGCATTAACTTTATTAACTTTTGTGTAGGTAATGGGAGTGTGCTGTGAAAATGTCATAGGGTACGTGCCAGTACCTGTCGGTGTCGCAGGGCCACTGCTGGTCAATGGGAAGAAATACATGATACCCATGGCAACAACTGAAGGCTGCTTAGTAGCCTCGACAAACCGTGGATGTCGAGCACTTGTTGGTGGTGTCAAAAGTGAAGTGATCCGTGATGGCATGACTCGTGCTCCAAGTGTAAGGATGCCCACAGCTGCCCAAGCTACGTAAGTGCTTTCCTTAAGTTGAGAGAGGTAACAGTAATATGGAATCTGGAGAGCAGTTAATAGATAAGAAATTTTGGAAAATGTATTCAGCTAAATCAGAGGACAGAAAACAAATCAAAATAAAGAAATATATGTATGTTTTAGGCAGGCAATATTTATATTTGTAGATGATTGATTTTTAATTTAGCTGAAAAATATATTTCGAAGGACAAATAAATAACCAGTTTCCTTAAACAGGCAAGTGTACAAGTGGATTCGGAAGAAGGAGAACTTTGCCATCATCAAAGAGGGATTCGATTCCACAAGCCGGTTTGCTCGTCTTCAAGATTTGCACGTTGGTTTGGCAGGAAGGTTGCTCTACATGCGCTTTGTGGCCCAGACTGGTGATGCTATGGGGATGAACATGGTCTCAAAGGTGTGTAATTGGAGTCCGAAGATGGAATAGTTGTACTGTAATAGCAAGCAATGCCCATTGTAAGAAAGCGAGAGGGTGCATGTAGTAATTTCCATTTTATATGTCAAGTAATTGTTACTTTTCCACCTCAGGGCACAGAAGCAGGACTAAAAGCCTTGAAGAACCATTTTCCAGAGCTTGAAGTTTTGAGCGTCAGTGGCAACTATTGTGTGGACAAGAAACCGTCTGCAATAAACTGGTATGCTGAGGACAGTCTTAAGAATCTGGAACTAGGTGTAAAAGCTTATGAATCCACACATGTATTCACACACATACACCTACACAAATATCAGCATGCCCCATTATACCCATACTCACTGAAGAAAAAGGAAATCATGCTTGCATATCTTCTCTAATCCAAAAGGTAGAAAGAAACAGTTGCATGAAAAACACATTATTTCCACAGGATTGAGGGTCGTGGAAAGTCTGTAGTTTGTGAAGCCGTTGTTCCTGGCAAAGTGGTAACATCAGTCTTGAAAACCACAGTCGCTGCTCTCGTGGAGGCTAATGTGACGAAGAATTTGATTGGGTCCTCTTTGGCTGGTTCCATTGGAGGCAACAATGCCCATGCTGCAAATATTGTGGCTGCTGTGTACATTGCTTGTGGACAGGTTAGTTTGCCTTCTACTTCTACTGTCCTCCTTCTCCTTCTCCTCCACCTTCTCCCTCTTATCCTCCTCTTCCTCTTCATCTACCTCTTCCTCATGGTAATTGTTTTTTTATGTTTTATATCATGAGCTTAACTTTATGGGTTTCATATTGCGTAATATGCTATGAATGACAATTGTGAATTATGAACACATTTTATTTTTAGTATGTAACCACTTAGTTTTTTTTGTCTTTACTGCTATTGAATGTCAGTTGTCATCTTTGCTCAAAATGCTGCAAAAATACAAATTTCAGTTTAAAAATTAGTTAATAAAACAGGGTTCTACTTTCTCTTGTTCATAATAGAAATTGTATTGGGAAAAATCATAGAATTTGATGGGTAGCCACAAATTCCACAGCAAAGTTAATGTTGCTATTAATCTTTGTAGTACAATAAATAATTACAAATATCATAGCAAGACCACACTGTATCACCATCTTTCTCCTTTTCTCACAGGACCCGGCCCAGGTCGTGGGTAGCAGTAATTGCATGACGCTGATGGAGTCTTGGGGCGAGCACAACGAGGACCTCCACATCACGGTCACGATGCCCTCACTAGAGGTGGGAACGGTCGGGGGCGGAACGGGACTTCACCCACAGTCTGCCTGCCTGAACATGCTGGGGGTCAAAGGTCAGTCCGTGGGTAAGGATCAGTTTTAGGATCAATTCATATTGCCTGCAAACTGATGTCCTTTCCTTTGGTTGGTTTATTTTTATTGTGTTAGTATTATTTTTAGATTAGTTCTTTTTTTTCAAGTGCTTGTGTTTAGTGTAGATGCTTTATTAGTCATTTTTCTCATTAGAGCTGGAATCAAAGATATAATTTGTAGTATGGTATAAAAGGAGGGGAAAAAATTTGGTAGGTATTTTACATGGCTGATGCAATGTAAGAGTCAGTGCATTGCGTAGATATTGATGAATATAGGATTGCTGTGAAGTAGAGACAAAAGGAAAACCACATATTGAAACGAGGGGATAATGATGTCCGTAGTGGTTGACTATATATGAAATACAAGTTAAGGGATGTTTGTATATCAGTGTCATGTTTTATTCATGTATATGCGACATGAGTCTTTTCATATAATTTTGCACACTAATAACAAATGATATGTTGGAGTTTAAGAAAAATTATGGAGTTTCTACTAAATTCTGTGCACAGAATTAGTAAAGATTCTTTTTCTCCTTTTTTGTGAAAAATCTAATCTGCAATTCTTACAACTTCAGATGATGAGGATGAGGATGATTTTTTTTTTATTTTAAGTCAGTCAGCCTGTCAGTTTACCTATTCACTTTTTTCTTCAAGTACTTGTGCAGGATATTGTAGTTGCACTAAAAGTTTTGAACAAGAAATAGCTATTTTTACTTAATAAAAGGAGCCTAGCTTCAGATATATAAGGAAAATATGGAAATGCTATTTTGTAGTAGATAGAGTGATGAATAGTTTCAGTTTGAGTAATTAGCTTGCATGTGTGCACAACATAGTGGTTTGTAGAAGATTTTAGATATATATATATAATATGTAGAAAAAGGGAGAGAAAGACAAACACACAGGACCGGACAGGCATGTTCACAACACCCACACACTCATACATACACCACCCATGTCCATAAGCACAGACAGACACATAAATACAAACATACAAACTAAAACCTCAAAAATACATAAACTTGAAAACAAAGATCTACACAAACACAAAAACACCCAAACATACAAACTCACACACAACTTCAAACAAAGAAATACACAAATACATAAATACACACACACACAAGTACATGCACACACAGGCAATTGCATTCCCATAGAGAAGCATGCACACACAAACTTGCATATTCACACACATGTGTACATTTGCATAGTTGGAACAAAATACATATAGATAAGCTTGTAAAGAATGTTCATATCCTATATAGAATTTGATATGATTAGTATTGACGAAGAATAAGATACTGTCTGTAAGTAGGTTTGGAAAAAATGACATTTAACAGGAACTTTTATGCTTCATTGATATTGATGATTATAATTATATGAGAAATTGTTACTTTGAATACAAGTGTTTGTGTGTATGCTGGGGGTATTATATCTAATTTTGTGAGTGTGGATGAATGTTTGTTAATTTACCTTTTTAAATATTTTATGAAATATTTCTCTTTAGGTGCCCACAAAGACACTCCAGGGGAGAACTCCTGCCAGTTTGCCAAGATCTTGGGAGCAACAGTCCTGGCCGGGGAGCTATCACTCATGTCAGCTTTGGCTGCAGGGCACCTAGTGAAGAGTCACCTGGCACATAACAGGGCCAAGGCTGAAGTGCCAGCCTCCAGCTCCTCCCCAACTCCCACACCGGCCCCTGCCAGTGGCACAAAAGTAGTCGAGGAAACAAAAGCAGAGACTGAGGCAGCTCCTTCCACCGAGAGCAGCCGCTCCCAAGAGGGGGAAAAGGAGAGTGGGATCACAGGGAGCGTTCAGGCATGCAAAGATCCGGCAGACCTCTCTGTTCCACACTCGAGGGAGAGGTAGAAGCAGAGGAGCTGTGTTATATATTTTTTCTACTTTTTCATTTGTATACCCTACTTATTCTTTCTTCCTTTCTTTCTTTCTTTTTCTCTTTTTTTCAAAAGTGTCACGTTTTTCTTTCTGTCTTTCATTCATGGGTGCTGAAATATTTTTACAGACGCTGAATCCAGAAGATTCAGATCTATTTAATGAAAGTGGTAGTTATAGAGGAAAACCTTGGAGGATTTAGTAGGAAAAATACATACATTGATTACTATGTACCCTGAAATGTTAAAGGTAGATTAGGATCTAATAGTATCATCATCATTTATAGTTGTTTTGTTACCTCATTTGTTGCTGTTTTCATGCATACATCACTATTAACATATTTGGGTAGCTTTTTTTATGAATTGTCTGCTGCAAACCAAATTGGAGAGACATACCTATGTTTGGTTTATATTTTGTTTAGTTTTTTTCTTTTCTTTTCTTTCCTTTTTTCTTTCTTTTTTTCTTATTTTCTTCGAGCAGTATTTCTCTAGAATTCTTTCTTTCCCTTCTGTGCTCTCTTTTTGAACATGTTTTCATCTTGCCATCAATTTTCCTTCTTTCATATTGAGGTAATCAGTTGCTTTGCCTCCTAGGCTAAATACAAATTAATTTATTTAAGTCTTTGAGTATATGTATAAGTAGAAGGAAAAGAAATGATGATTTGTATGATATTTTCTTAAGAGATCAAATATTTTGTAAAAAGTTAATTTATCAGATCCCTTATTTATCTTTTGTAATTTATTAAACCATATGTAAATGTGTGAAGGAAAAGTACTATTTCCTATGTATATTATGTCAGAATCTATAAGCTTCCATTCCTGTTTTGTGCATGGTGTCTTTATTCAGGTAAATGAAGAAACAAGTAAAGAATATACAATTCAGAAGCTTTTTTTTTTTTTTTTTTTTTTTTTAGAATGAAGTCTTTGAATTTTCCTTCGACCCAAATTGTAAAGACATATCGCAAGTAATCATAGATAATGTGACTTCTCATTTTGTATATTTTGGGTGAAGTGCGTGATGACCATGACAATAATTTGGGGCACTTCTGTTAAGATTAAGAAAGGATAGTGTAGCAAGGAGTGGGGGGAATGACTAACTTCTGTGCAGTCTATCATTTGTAACATGGAAATTCCATTTGGAAAACGGTTTTTGATTGTAAGTCTCTCCTAAATCTAAAACAACTCATTCAAGGAAATTTAATTTATTTCTCATAAAGCTTGATGCATGTATTGATTTAAAAGGAATGAAGAGAAAAAATCTGAAGAATCTAAGGTCTTATCAAGAGTTCACATCTCAATAATTAAAGAATTAGTGGCTATTTTTAAGGTGTATTTTCATAGTGATGATAGAAACTGCCATCAGTAAATTTTGGCTTTTTCATTCTTTTTTTTTTTCTTCATCTTTTTTTTTTCTACATATCAAAAGAAATTGTAAATAGAAGTAAAGGAAGTTGTAACCTTTTTGGCATTTTTAGAACTTTTTTTTCACTTTCTCCATGATAAAGTAAGAATACTATTAATTTCATCATACATTTTAAGGATGAAACTCCCATTTAAATTTTCTGTTTTAGTAATTCATATTACTTCTGTAAATACATTGTGTTGTTATGTTAAGGCATTGGTGCTTTCTCTTGTGTTGAATGGATTTAGTTAGCTTTGCCTCTTATCACAACACACACACACATGCACACACTTGTACACATATGTATACCTACAGATGCACATGCCCACTCTCACTCACTCACACACTTGAATTAATCAGTTAAAATCACAGTGGACACAGCAGAAATATATGCCTTCCACTACCAGGTTATGCACACATGTATATATATACACACACACATTACAAAGGAGCATATTTTTTAGCCAATGATGGATTTCTAAAGAATTTACACTATGGAATATTCATGCCACTAATACTGTATGTGGTTTGAAAGACAGCTGAAAGGATTGTATGGGTTCATGTGTGTGAAATATAATTGCAAATTATATGGCACTAGAATGGAAAAGGTAGTTCTTTTTTTTCTATAAGAATGTAAACAAAGACATATTGAAACAAGTTGTATGATAGTGCATTACTTGCTTTTGTGCAGCTCTATTGAATTGAACACAGTGGCCATGTCTTGAAAGTGTTTTGCCTTGTAATACACACCCTTGAGTTATTGGTTGCAGTTTCATCTGAATGAAATGTTGTTAGTCTTCCATTAGAACTTCATTAAAGTAGCTCATGCATTGTAGATTTAGGAAATGAACCAACAAAGAGTCGGCAATAGTCCCAGTGTGGTAATATGTGCATTTATTAACTAGAGCAGTCTATCAAAAAATAATAAAACAATGTACGATTATAGTATTATATGTTAATCATTAAGACCAAGAGACAATACGCAGTCACATGACTATAAATATTGGACAATATTGTAGCAGTTTACTGAAAGCACTATAGATCGTTTTTGAATGATCTTTCCTAGGCAGTGGGATATCCAATACTATGATTTACCATATGTCACATACCTGTACAGCTCTGCACAATGCTGGGGAACTCCATCAATTTTCTGTTCTTAGCTTATATAAGTATGTATATTATACTCTTGTCAGTTGTTCCTTACATCTCTTTTCAGCCTTTATGTTTTTCTGTTGTAATACTAAGAGTATTATTTTCTATTTTATTTTTTGTATTTTTTTTTTTTTTTTTCCACTTGGACTTATGACTCAGGTAACAAAGCAAACTTACCTGATTTACTCTTCAGCAATATTTGTGCAATCATTTGAAGATTTATCAAATTAGTTTCATGTTAATATAAGTCAATTTCATTCTCAAGAATGTTCTCTCTTGCCTCTAAGAGGTATATGGTGATATGGGTCCCTTCCTGCTCTGAAATAAAAAATGCCATCTTTAACTGATATTGTTTCATTTCATACCTAGTTTTGTAATGGTTCTGAGAAATTCTTTGAAGACAGAAATCTAGAGGTTAAGTTATTTTCAGAATTATTCAAAAACATAAGATACATATTTGTAGCTTCTGAATGAACACTCTTCCATTTCTTATACCAGTGGTTTCCAAACTTTTTTCAGTGATAACGCCCTAAACTGGACACACCTTTTGCAAAGGGGTATTACTATGCATTGGTGAACAGAATAGTAAAAGCTTGGTAGCTTGAGACTCTATTTTCTAAGAGTTAAGCACACGGAGATATGAACACACGCATGACAATCTTGGGTTAGCTTGGTCAGCCTGGCGAGGGGGGCACGTAAGTGACCTGAGCCCTCCCGACCTTCAGGCCGTCGGCCAGGTGACCGACCTTGACCAGACAGCAGCGGGGCACTGACTCTGTTTGACCCAGGTCACCCTCAGCCTTAAATATCCGATCTTCGCGTGGGGGAGGCGAAGGACCGCCCATCTGCTGGGGGCATGCCACGCTGGCAAGCATGGCGTGGCGTGGGGTGTCCGCATCCACGTGGCTAACGAGCCCACATGGCCTATACGTGTTAATACACAGTATACCTTTTTGCAACATACTTTTCCTTAACCCATTGCCAACAGGGAAAATTAATTTAAAAATGGGGAAAATGCAGTGCTCATTCTTTACATTTTTTTGTGAAATGTCACTACACATACATGGCTTTGCCTTATCTGGTTTCACCTTTCCTTGAATTGGCGCAAAAATGTATTTTTTACTAGTGCTATGAATATCGATGGTGTTATTTCTATTATAAACATTATAATTACTATAATATAGTAACAGCAAAATAAGATAATGTGAAATATTTTCGAAAATTAAAGAAAAGGGTGAATGGGTGAGACAGGCAGTACTCGTAATTGGGTCATTGGTGGTTTAGTACAAGTGTAGCCATCTGTGTAAAAACAAAAAACAATCAAACAAGTAAACTCATAGTAGGTATGGCATAACATGCCCGTCGGCAAAGGGTTAACTATTTCCCAGCTCCATTATGCATAAATTTACCTTTACAACTACTGCTCTTTATAGCACTTAAAAAAGATTTATGCCCAAAAGACAAATATAAAACCTACCAGAAGAATGAAAATATAGTAAAATTCTAAACAGTAGCAACCTTAGTGTCAAAGCAACTGAGAAAGTTGTGGCACTCAATTTGGGAAGGTAATTAAATGTATGGATATCATGTATCTGTAAATTACTATTATTTTATGTAACTTTAGTTTATTATAATAAATGTAACAGCTTTACTTATTTTCATGTATTTGGCAGATCCATTATATGTGAGAACATTTTTGTTGTTCTTTAACACTAACTTTTGACCTTTTTTTTGTATACTGACAAAAAAGTGGAATAGCTTTTTTTCTTTCTTTCTTTCTTTTTTGTCCAAATTTTAACCCACAAAGAAAAATTGACAGCACACCCAAGCATGAAGTGCAGTCACCATCACTGAAAGTAATATGCCCAAACATTTCAGATACAAGATAATGTTTCTTGGAATCAATAAACTGTTAGAAAATCCAAGACATATATATTATGTAGAATTCAAATGCATTACCTGAAGTGAACTGCTTTTTATTTTCTATTCTTAACCTAATGTTGCCGGGGAAAATTAATAAAAAATTAGGGAAATGCTATGCTCATTTTCTATATTTTGTGTGAAATGACTCTGCACACAGATGGCTCTGCTAGTGCTTAGCCACAAGTCAATTAGTAGACCTTGTGACCTTACCTGATTTGAATTGGTGGGAAAAATGTATTTTTTACTAGTGCTATGAATATCGATGGTGTTATTTTTATTATAAACATTATAATTACTATAATGTTATAAACATTAGTAACAACAAAATAAGATAACGTAAAATATTTTTTTAAAGCAAAGAAAAGGGTAAATGGGCGAGACAGACAGTACTCGTATTTGCCTCATTGGTGACTTAGTACAAATGTAGCCATCTATGTGTAAAGACAATCAAACAAGCACTCACAGTGGGCATAGCACAGACGTACACATCATGCTTGTCAGCATTGGGTTAAGTAAGAAATTGAAAATATAATAGATTAAATTTTTTTACATTTTTGTCACTGACTACAACTCTCTATTTGAACAACATAAGCCTTCATCATCATCTTTTCATGAAATTTTACTTATATCCCACATAATTTATTAATTCAATGCTGCCAGGGATGACATGTACATATATATGTCATGCCCATTGCTAGTTTATTAATTGTATTCAAACATATATGGCTCTACAAGTACTTAGTCACCAAGGAGTCAATCACTAGTCCCACTTGTTTCACTTGCTAAGTAAAATTTGCTGTTTTGCTGATTAATTCCTTAGTGACTGAGCACTTGCAGAGCAATCTATACGTCAACACATTTCACGGAAAAAAATACAGTGAATGTTACATGTTCCTTGGGTCTAAAACCCCATTATGTAATATTACCATAAACAGCTTACTCCCTTCCTTAATGTTCAATTAATGCCAGCCTCTTCATATTCTGTTTTATGACTTTCTTTTTCATATCTGTCTATGCATTTAACAATCTGTCCAACTATCTGACTCTCTACATCCAAATGTACTTCCCCCTAAAATGATCTACATGTCACTAATTGAGCTGTATATTTTTTAGTCAAATTACTATTGTGTTAAGAATCAAACAGGATATGAAACAACCATATTCACTGATATAATATATTTACAAAATTATAAAGGTAATTG